TGCTGACTGATAAAACTAAACTAACCCCCTACCATCAAATTAGAGGTATCACACATGAAACTACTATTATAAAATGATAATAAGGCTTAGGTATGTTTGAACGCAGTTTGTGGAATAGGCATCAAATAAGTTCTACATGCCTTATATTAAATCCTTTTAAGAAATTCTACCACGAATTAGATATGATTGGGTGTTAATTTGCTATTGCTTGTAATATCCCATGCGTCGTTTGTAAGCTTTTAGCCTAATTGTACTATCGATATTTCCCTCAAGTACGCCGGATGTAACTACTGCCATTGCCATTTTTTCCACACGTATGAAATTAAGAGTCAGCGTTTACCTTTCGTACCACATATCCGTTACCGTAGATAGTGGTAACTATCAGAGTGGAAAGGTGCGGCTTCGTCTGTTTTGTATGAAGTTGTGTTTATATCGTACACGATAATTCATGCTTCTTGGGACACTCTATGGCGTTAAAGCATTCAAAACGTAAACGCAGTGTCGTCCGAACAAACGAACGGGACCATTAGAGCAGACAGACAGACAGACAGACAGACAGACAGACGAAGGGTGATGTGTTTTTATTTGACAGCAAATGTCTTTCGATTCATGCTCCAGCCAGTCACGCAGGCAGAGTCAGTGAACGAGCACATAAAAAAGCAAAAGAAAGCGAAGAATCGAACAGTAGGATGAGCGAATACTAGGAACTATTGACACGAATAGGAGAAATTCGATTATTTTTGAGAAAATTTTCGTTTTCTCCCTGCTCTAACCCTTGTTTCGAACTTTGCTCCAGGACGACGTCGTCTTCGTTGACTACCACCGTTTCTCCCCCATTCACGCTCCCCTCGTCTCCCACCGCCCGGCTACTATTGAAGTCTGCAATTCTTCTCGTTGCCAACAGCTGACTGTTCGGTAGTCATAGTGGTTCACCTGATTCTATTGTGTTCGTTGTGGGTTCCTTCTCCAGTTTCTTGCCAGCCTTGGTTCTTGGCCATCATGGTTAGCTCTTCGCCGTGTTGCTATTGCCTGCAATGTTTCCTCGTGTGTGAGCGCATGTAAAAGACAGCGGCCATTTTGTGTCTCCAAGCGGTACAAACACCGGGTCGACACGTCTGTGACTCCAATCGGTTTGAACCGCTCACTGGCGAAATTGACAGCTTCAGGCACGGGTAGGTCATGGAGTAGTTTGCAGCCAGCGGCAGTTAATCCCAAGCAGAGGCGAAGTAATCAGCAGTCGATACTCGGCATTCTACATGACTTTCACCGGTGCTTTTTATAATCATTATCATACCGCCATTGGTAACATAGCACAGTCAGATGCGACAGAAGTAGCATCAGCGCACTGTTGTTTTTCTTCGCTTTTATGATAACTGAGCTTGACAACTGTGCCCGCGGTAACCGGTTACGGACGGGGGCTCCAATCGCCTTCCGGGTCCGTTCATCGGCTCCAAAGCGATAGATCTATACAGTTGTTATTGGCTGGTGAGCTAACGGTCATTTAAGCACGTAAGCAGAGCTGATAGACAAAATCCAACCTATCATGTACGATAATTCTAATAAGTTGGCGAAGCGTTACTTACCAAATGATCGGCCATGTATTCAACGGAACTGTCATTGCAAAATTGCGATAAAAGAAGCGGCTACTAAAATTACCGCCGCCATCACCATGTACACACAGATCGCTTGCGGTGTCATCCTTTTCTTCTTGTTCTTTCTTCGTCATCGTCGTCGTATGGTGATCTGTCATTAGTCATCCACGAAAGTAACGCTAGCGGTGGCGACAATCGGTGGTTAGCTGTGGATTTCCAATTGTTGTTTCCGCTGCCGCCGTCGTCGTCGTCGTCGTCGTCGTCGTAATCAGTCAGTAGCCGGTTGGTCGTCTAGCTGGTCGCGCGGTCGGTCGGTCGGTCACTCTTCATTCGTTCGGCCGTCGATGCGGTCGGGTTCGCTGACGATTTCGAGTCTCGCCTTCTTCGGTAGCCGTGAGCGTTCTACTGAACAATTCAATGAGCAAGGTCCGACCGGATTTGATATTTCGTTCGAATCTTCCAGCACCGGTGATCGTACCGGCGAGCCGTGCAAATAACGGAAGACGAAACGTCTTACGAAAACGGATATTGCTGTTGTTTTTGAAACCACCAACACCGGCTTTAACAGCAACGGTGGCTCTTACTACCGGTTACGTTAATACAACGGTAGTGGAAAATCAGGGGTCTGTCTGTAGCCATGATAGTGGAAGCGATAGCAAGTTTCGGAAGGTATGATAGCATTTGGTATAGCTTTTGTTCCAGTTCAGTTGCTAGTGATTGTGGAGTATGTAATTACCGGTCGCTGTAGAGCTTGATATAGGTATACGAGACAACGTTATATACTCAGTTCTGTGCAAATCAAAGAAGCACGCCGTCGACACCGGCGCACGTAAAATGAAGATCGGTACCGACACAAGATGTCCACCGAGACACTTACGCACACTCGGACATACCATGTGCCAAACAAATGTTTGCATGAAATGAACGGATGTACGCGGAGAGGTTTGCTAAGCTGTGACTTTGAGCGGTTCGTAACAAGTCGAGGTTTTGTCGAATTCGTTTCTAAGAGAAACGATCAGACCGGGACGGGCTACCCTATGCATAGGCCATTCTGCATCTAGCCCTCAGTTGCCGCCATTAGTAGATTAGATACTTATATTGTATATTTACACCATTTGCGCCTAGTCAGAACTATTGTCGTGTTCTCGGTGTTCGTGTAGCTTAGAAATGGCACAGTATTCCAGAGCAGACCCGTATTGAAAAATCAATAGTAGCAGCAATGTTCAAGACTGCTCAAAACCGTATTTCTCTAGCGATGCGAAACAGCCTAGTCTACAATGCAGACGATTTTTGTATAGCTCGTAAAAGCTGCACATGCATTTCAAATGTACTTTTTTTCTATTATAAACAAGGAACCTGTGGTGTTAGTTAGTGATCTTTGGATAGACTAGCTGTAACTATACACGTAAGGCGTTTAATTAGCTTTACTTGCTATGCGAATGCTCCCGCGTTCTATGCCAATCAATGATTTTAAAAAAAAAAGTTGGACCGTTTATCGTCTTCGAACGCACCGTTTTCAGGACATGGCGTTTGCCCTCAATAAATGCGAGTGGCGCGTTCGCCCGAAAGAAGCAACGGTTTCGAACGTCATTCTGATGTGGCATTGAAAGTAATAATAAAGAAGGCGTTTGTTTAGCAAATATTCAATGATTTTGCCAAGCAAAGCAGATTACTATGCCGGGATTCGATCTATCTAGTAACCCGATTTCATTTCACTTGCAAAGCTACAAATGAAAATGAAATTATGAAGCGATACTGTCAATATTCAAGCAAACATCTTAGTTCGCATAACGCGCCGTTCGCACAATCTTACGCTTTTTTTAAGCAACTTCTGAGCGGGTATCCACAAAGCGCTCGCAATTAAGGTCCAGATGTTTAGTGATTCTGTGTACTATTTCAAATGAAAATTATGGAAAGTTAACTGCCAACCTGTCTTGTCTTAAGAGCTTCTGCTAATTAAATATGCTGAAGCTGGAGTCCTTCTCCTGTGATCGTTCCGTATTGCAAGAATGCAGTACAGCCATCAATTATTTCAAACAATAAAAAAAAAACAGAGAAACCTGTATTAAACAGTTTTTGCATAGTACGCCATTGTGCTTCGCATCAAACGCACAGTTTGGACAACGGCTGATTTCCTGGTTGCAAGCTGCATCGCCAATATGGTCCCACCGATGTAAAGAAACCCACAAAGCTTGGGGAGAAAAGACTAACGGCTCCAAGCAACGGGAGATTATTTTGTGCTCCACTTCGGACCATTTTGTCTAGCGCAGAAGTACCAAGCACGATTTACGATAGAAGAGCCCGTTGATATTTACACACTTAAAAACGTGCAAAAAATAGGGTGATGTTGTTTCCTTTAGTCCTGTTATCATGCTCAACCATCATGTACTTTTCGTCCAATCCACGAGTAGTTCCAGCTAACGAGCACTGCCGAGAAAAAGCGCTAGTAACAAAATCGCGCAATGCTTCAGATTCGAGGCCTATTGATAATATATATGGTCGCTGACTGGCAGGAACAAGGGCTTCGCAGCAATTCGCTCCGCGCTTATATAGTCATAGACATGTAGATACTAAACTAATTAATTAGTGGATTGTTTGCACTATTGCAACTCGGCCACCTTTGTCCGGTCATATCTCCTCAATTTTCGGCCGGTATCCTTTAACACAGTGCGGCTTCACGCCTGCGCTATCTAGTACTTCCCGGGATTTCTTTGGGTGAGTATCAAAGAAAACTCATTTTGCTCAAAGCAGACTACAGATGGCACGACTATCGACCTTAAGTGCTGTTTATCACGAGTGCGAACCAGCAAAACAGCACAACCGATCTTCCAGTTATTATACCACGCTATTGGGGCTGTAGGCGCAGTAATCGCGAGTATTCGAACTACTTAACAATGTAGATACCTCTTCATTTCAGCAATAGATTTGCTGACAGACTAGAGAGCAACGTACTTTCTTGGCGTTCCCCCGCAAAGCGGTACACGTCACACTTACGTACATATGCATGTACCGCCGTATTCCTCTGTGCAGGAATAGCACGCTGTCGGCAAGCGTGCAGTTTTGTCTACGACAAGTCGGAAATCAAGGCCTTAACTGGTTTTGTATAAATGGTCCTCATTCTTGAGGATAAAACTATGAATCTTCTACTCTTTTCAGTAAATTCGTATTATCGCCAGTCGTCTAGGACTGATGAACTGTCCTGACTTGTGTGCTGGTGGTAGTACTTCGGACGGATACGCAATACAGCCTTCGAGCTCCATAGTGGCAATATAACAGGGGCTTAGTACTGCCTTAATGCCTGTGACTGTTGCAGACGGGCGCTGCACGCGGTGCAGCTTTTGTGGGGCTCTTCTCTGAAACCGCCCCATGTAATAACGTCTTATGCTTACGAGCCTTCTTACATTCCAGACGTCCCCCGCGGGTACGATTGCACCTCATCAACCATCAGCCGAACATCGCTGGACCAACCTCAAAAGGGCGATTGAATATCGTGTTTATATTGCCAGTTAACCCGCAAGTGGACAAGCTTAGGTTCGTCGTGGATTCGCAGGAATCATCGCCACTCGTTCTGCGCTTGTGTAGCTGCAGGCGTGTATGTATTCAATAATTAATATTTTATGGAAATAATAATTCTTTCAGTTTCGGTAGAAATTTATATTACTGTTTTATATTGTATGAAGCCGTTTAAATGGTAGAAGGCTGGGCTACACGAATCGATAAAGCTTTGAAATGTCATTTCGACATTATATTAAGACTGAAACAGCTCTCCTATTAAGGAATTTTCGATATCTTAAAGCAAATGCTAATCTGCGGATGCAATAAGTACTATAAATGGCTATGGCTTTTGCCGTTTTGCCCCAGTGGTCCTTGCAAAGTAAGATCGAGTGTTGCCCTTAGTTCTATAATGTGGGCTTTTGAATGTGTCGTTTGTTCAACATTTCCTAAAATTGTTGAGAGTACAGCTTAGCTGCAGCCCACAAACCAGGACTCATGAAGTTGTAGTGGATAAAACCTGTACTAAATCACCAAATATACACCGTAAGCCGTTGCAGTCGTGCATTTGCTGTTCGCCGATAACCTTCCCTAGTCCTCGTAAAAGATCATTTTTTATTGCAGGCCATGATCCAATGCAAGAACGGGTTGCTGTTATAGCGCAAGAACAAAGCTAGCTAAATACCTCTACGTCTGTTTTTGCTCTTCGCTCGAATCATGTAAATATTAACATTACTGAACTGAACAAATATGATATTTTTTTATTTTGGCGTTTTATATACACCAAATCTGAATGGTAACACTCGCAAACATTGAAATGGTCGGCTTTTATTATAGATCTGAGGATGCCGTTATTTATTTTAGTATAAGGTTATTTTTTAATTCAACATTTTTTTTTCTCAATTTTTGCTTACGATAGACTGAGCTCAGCTCTCGAATCTTTTTGGTCATTTCCGGCCAATACATATACCAGTTATTTACCAGGAACTTCCTACCATCGAAACAACCGCTGAGTAACTTTGCCGCAGGCTGCGTTTCGTAACGACTCTAACGATATGTAATTTGCAGCTTGGCTTTGTAAAACGAGTAGACAAATACCACGACATTTTTAGGCCCAAAACGCTCGAGGGATTTTTCATTCTTCAACTCAGCCACCTGGCGTCATCTTAAAAATCTAAGAAATTTACCATGTGCTATCGCCAATTATACATTTATTCATATGCAGTGTTTACTTTTTAATATCACTTAAAGAAAATGTTTAGGATCCGAGATTCTAATTCGCTAGAATAAATTCAGAAGGGCCTAAAGACCACGTATGAGGCGAAGTGCATAGTCCCAGTAGAACTTTTCCAGTATTTTTACGACTGATAATTATCCTACGGCAACTTCCGTAGAGTATACTGCAAAATGCTGCATCTTGCAGTCAGACGTTTGGAGACGTATAATACGTCAATTTACGAAAAAATATTAAGTGATATTGCTGAGTGAGGAACTTTCAGAAGTATGTCAAACGTGGTTTTACAGCGTTTGTTTTAAGATTCATAGCAGAAAAACAAACTTTGTGCACAGAGATAGGCCCCCCGAGGTCGTCGTTTTGCCGACCTGGTTATTTGATTAGAAATTGAAATATTATTTGCGATCGTGGTAAAAAATAGTTTTCCTGGTGCGGAACACAAAGTTTTACAAGTTAGAGAAAGGCACAATATTTTGCCTAAACTCTTTGTACCGGATATGTCGTCCTGATCTGAAACCGTGCATACATAATAATGCTCAGTGGCTATCGTTACTCTGGCTAGATGCTAACAAATATAATATGTCATGCCCAATTTTTACCCAAAAACCCTCATGCTGGTCCATTTACTCGCCCTTTTTTCGCATATATTCCATAACACAGATATACATCGAGTGCTACTAAATACTGTTATATTACTTCCTTGAGACAAATCTAAAAGGACTTGTTCCAGTCTAAACCGGAGTTCTAAATTTCAACTCGTTGCCTCTATTCTCTTACGCGTTACTCCTGCTGTCTCTTTGCAGTTGTTCTCGTTCTGTTATTTCAATAGTAATAAACCCGTTTCAGCAATAAACCCGTTGTTGAGTTAGCCAAATCATTTTGTAGGTTTGCTGCGTGATCCCATTGCCTAATTTCAACAGTTCTATTACATGGCTTTAAGAACCCCTCACAACCGCGAATACTGTGGTCTGAAGTAGTCGTATAATCAGACTTCAAACAAGACTGAAGAATACGGAGTTTAGTGTTTTATTTGAGTGGCAACAGCGATTCGCTCTCAGAACAACATATTGTAAAGCTAAAATCCACGCAGGTTAGTATTTATTATATACTCCGCAAACGATAATACTTGAGGTTCAATTGCAGTCACTAATTTCTACCCTTCGTAGTTAACTGTCATTCAAAATTCAGGAGATTGTCAATAATTTTGCTTTTAGCCTTACATATTTCATCATTCCAATTTTAGGTTTCCAAGTTTTCCAAGTTTAGGTCCAATACATTGCATTTCGTAGTAACAAGGCGGCCCGAACAGCTAAGCTGTTGAAAAGCTAAAAATCACTGGCCTAAACACCGTCATAGACAATGAACAACACAAAATATGTAATTAAACAAAGAAAAGTATAAGGCGCATGTGTAAAAAAGTATGCAAGTTATTAGTGCTGGTTTCCCTGTGTTGTTTTGAACGGCCTGAACGATACATTTCTAGGTAAGTCAGTGACCAGAACTGTCCACCGGACTCGTTTACGGCCGAGTGTTCCTAAAATACGAAACCGCTTCCCGCAACTACGTATGGATACTTCGTTTTTATAATATTAACAGTGGCGATATGTTTAAAAACAAAATACACAAAGATGGCGACATATAATATAGAATGCCATGCGGAATTTTCATTTTACTGCAGAGGTCGGCCAAGTTTGTATGCGAATCCTTTGTAACACCCGATAAACATTTCTCATAAGCAAATTCTTCACTTATTATCGGTACCTACAAGCCTGTAACTGCAGTTAAATTATTCCGCTGTTACAAAGGTCCGTTCCAAGGAAACTAATTAGATATTCCATAACGAGCTATCCTAATAACGCATGGGAATTGGGGTACATTTTCTTTACTTCTGGCTAAAACACTGCAAGGACATGTTTCCTGGCAGCAGAGCTATGCTGCATGGAAGTACCAAGGACCATGTTAAAATAAACATGCAAGGGTCGGTTGAGAGTACATTGTACTTGTACCTAGTGCAAAGGTGGAGTGTAACGCGAGAAATTTCAAGGTCCTGAGACATGAGAAATCGGGAGGGTAATTTGTGAAAATCAGTGAACTTGAACGCAGTTAATAATATTTACATTACTTAACATATGATACAATCTATAAGATACCGGTTCTGTTCAAGAGAATTAGCTCTTTATCCAAAAAAAAATCCCCTAAGGACGATCATACCCTCACCATGTATTCATCATCAAATGTATTTTCTCCAAAATAGTTTTTCCCACACGTTCGCATCACGGCGACACTTGAAAAGCATGCCTGGGTGTCGCTTGTTGCAATCAATATATCTTTGCTTCGATACGTACAATCAAGTTAAGTAGCTACTTCAAATAATGAAATAATTTGTTTTAGATTTTGGTGTGTCTGTGGCGCGAACTCAGATTTAATTAAACTCGTTGTTTGCGAGCCATGCCAATCTCCATGGTTGGCTTCGTAGTCTGGAGCACTTATGCGCGAAACTGCCACAAAACAAACAAAAACCGTTAACGAACACGATCATACTAGCTAAAACGAAGCGGCCAATGAGTAATTATCTATTTTAACCGGTAGCCACCCTCGTAAAAAAGAGATTCACAAGAGCACATCCCTAATTTTTAGCTGCTAGCTACAGCGATAGCCAGCCGGATGGCTCATACAAGGGACACATAAGTCGGTAGGTCTGGCCAGTTCAATTACGAATCAACTGAGCGCTTGAAGTTGTTGAAGCCTAGCTACAAAAACGTATCCATCTGTATCTTTACTCACTCCACTACACGTAAACTGAATCTTCTTTATATGGACTATAAAAAATGTTACGTTAAAAATATGAGCGATGGAAAAAAACGTTGGGTCACAAAGAATGTAGCAAGATAGACTTCACCATTGTGGTAGGAAACGATGTAAGAGAGTAAACGATGGATACAGCGCACAGGACTAAGGTGGATGGAAAACAGTAGAGGGAAAAGCGATCACTTACCAACTGGTAGTCGCAGTTTCCGTCGTGTCTAAAGTTGCGAGCCTACAGAAGTAGAAGGTGCTTCGTATTTTCAGGGAAAGGTGCCGCTAAGCACGAATGTCTATTTTGCAACGAGCACGAGTCTCTAGCGAGAAAATTAGTTGAAGATAGTTGTAACGTCAACGCCTTGTGGGTTGCTCGTAATGCGTAGAAGACATCTATATATTCACTTCACGTCCTCGCAGCGGTCACGGACCATTGCTGGTGATGCCAGCGGCAGAGACGAAAGAATTCAAAATTCGCCATATAAAATGTCATTCGGGAGTCCATATTTAAAGCAGCGCATTTAGCGACCTATGAGGTTTAAACCGGTTGTGCTGAGGTGACCTATAGATCAAAGAGTCAACCCCCAGTGGCACTGTCGCCGCAGGCTACAGATGTCATTTTTTCTAGGATCACCCTGAACTAAACAAAGTCCTGTCAAAGTATTGCAGGATCGGTTTAACCGGAGAGGTCTAGCAAAAGGCAAAGCTTGCGGATTTCTTACCAGAGTCCTAAATGCAACAAGGAGCTAGTACATCCATGTTGCAATAGAAGTCATTAGAAAGCAAAATTAATTAACCGAGTACTAGATGTCAAACTGTTCGTGCCTTTACGAGCAGAGCCGAATGTAATTACCATTCGCTGCTAGACAACAATACGTTAGTAGATGTGTTAAGAATCTGTGTTAACATCAAGCTATGTACCGTACGATTCACTAAATGATGCTCACTCGCTTGAAGTTACGCATCTCATAACTGTTGGCAACTTCTTGGTTCTTAGGTGACATACGCAATCAAATAGCATCTAATTTTGATTACGCGGACTTGAACCGAAAAAGCTAATT